CCGATCATTTACATGCAGACGTCTGTGCAACCCTGCTGTAGTAATTAAGTTTAAAAAGCAAGAACTTGATATGAGGAGTGTTGGGGTACTGATCCATGTTCTAGCCCAGCACTCATTGCTGAAGCATTAGGTGGCTCATTAGTTTGTTTAAATGTTCTTATGGTGACTCATTCTTTTTGGAAGTTAAGGCTTTACTAAACAGGGTTCAAGAAGTGGGCTGCACGGTGGCGTCGTTGATAGCACTGTTGCCATGCAGCAAGAAGGTTCTGGTTTATATCCTAGTCTTGGGTTTTTCTGCATGGAGTTTGCATGTTCTCCCCGTGCATGTTTGATGGTATGTTTTGACTTGAATATGGCACATCAGGCAAACTTGATGTGATAGTAACTCCTGTCACACTGCATGATGGGAGACAGGCTGCAAAACAAGTTGCTGCAGCAAGGTCACCTCAGGAAGATTGAACAGAGATCTGAGTCCAACAATAAATGGTAAACAAAAAGGAAGAAAAAGGAGCTGTTGTGGAAGCACTCCTGACTGTGCAAAAGAGTGCAATAATCAGAACTTGGTTGCAGCAGCAGTAACACTAAATGATTTTCCAAAAGCATTTCTGTCTTTGTGGTTTTGGTCATTTCTGGTCAGGGCTGAACAGGCAGTGAATGCGTCTTTCACACTGAATAACCACAAACTGCAGATTCAGCCATAACCAGAGATTTTCTTTTACAACTAGAGACTTTGTCCAAGACTGCTGATGATCACACTGTCTGAACCCAGCTTAGGTCAACATCTGACTGAGTTTTTCCTCCAGCGTAGAGCTGGTCCAGCTATCACCAAAGCCTTAGTAAGTATGACTGCAATGTTTTAAGTCATCAGTCAGTATTATGGGGAGGAATCATTGACTACTTCATAATTTGATTTGATTAAGATTCAGAAGACTTTGATACAGTTATAAATACTTTATACTACTGACACAATATGGTGCATACTTATATATCACACAAATAATCAATTGATGCAATATGTGTGTGCAACATTTTTAATCTCATTGAGTGTTTCCTGGTGGAAGAAATGAGGCATAAAAAAACAAGCCAAAAATGGGTCTAAGATCTCTCACTTCATCACCAGCTAAGACTAGATCCTTCTTAGAGATCTGCCATCCCTGTAAGACACCCTTTTACAACTCATTCATCTTTGCACCACTATGATTATCATTCACTGCTCTCATTAATGCTTATCAGCACATGTGCAGCTACAGTTATGTATCCATGGCAATGGCTGTCCATGGATCACGTTAGAGCTACCCTCCTTGCCATGACTTTCCTTCAGCATCATTATAGGGTGTGTGAATCACCAAAATATTTTGGAGATGGGATGTTGTTTTCAAAGCACCATAGACCAAACAGCCTGATTCTTAACAACTGTCCATGGTTGCAAAGTTGCAGTGAGCTTTGTAATTCACTTTGCTTTGACAGGGGCAGGACACAATCAGTTGTTTATATATATATATATAATTCATCATGTTTATCGTGGTTCCGAATATTTTAGCCTGGTTTTACACACTGCAGATGGTTCTCGGTGTGGTGCATTAAACTTCCGAGTGTGCTCACCATAACCTCTCCGGGTGCCATAATTATGTGTTCCATAGTTTCACCTTTTTCGTTTCTCAAAATGTGCTTATAAATTAACACAGAGATAATGGAGATTTGACAAGTATTATTAGATTCAGATGTCTGCATCCCAATGCTCTGACAAATGAATCTCATCCCCATTAGCACAGAGAGTACACATGGCAAGGTATTTACAAGCAGAGATACTACCAAATGTTAACTGCAGGACTATAGGAGAACAAAACTATAATTAAAGTTCTTCTATCATTGAATCCTAGTTTTTTTATTTTGTGTGAGTTCTTGCTGTACTGATTAAATTGCACTTTGACTCAAACTTAGATCTAACACAGTTAAACAGTGAATAATGAAGCCCAACACCTTTTTCACTAAGCCATCTGAACTAATTACCTGCACATTGTAATCTTTCTGTTTGGATAATAACCATCCGTTTCCTTTTTTACACTCCAAAGTATGTTAAGCTGTGAATGTTCACGCTGTGTTCATTATTATTGGTATTTACCTTCATTCTCGAGACGTGGGTATGAATTGTTCCAAGCTTGAAACCCCCATAGCAAATTTTCCTTTGATTCACAAAACCTTAAATGTAGATTTAATGTCACTACAAAGGTTAAACAGTAAAGTTAATTAATGAAGATGGAGACGTTTTCTCTGGACTGCCATGTTTGTACTCGCACTGTGAGCTCTAGTAACAGGGTAAACTTCAGTTTTACAGTAAAACCAAGTATAAAAATCTGCATTGAGCTTCTTCAGTGACTGATGAAAATGGAAAAAAATATCTGATCTCACATTAAGGATAAGCAGAACAATTGTTTTCCTGTTTCTGTGGCTGCTTCTTGTGAAAGTCTTCAGAGGGACAGCAGCTCAGAGAAAAACATTTAAAATATGCTGTTGACTGTTAATTAAATTTGGGCAAACATTGTATCTTTCTAAAACAAATTTAAAAATATATAAAAAAGAAAACTTTAATTTTAATTACATTTTTGAAGCTGAGACATGTTTTTTAAAGATATAATAGTTGCGTATTCATGATGCTGCTCTTCTGGCTGGATATCTATCCAAGGCTTAAAATGAATTCCCTGATCGTAAATGTCTTTAAACAAAATTCAGATTGTGATCAAACAGCATTTTGAGGCCATATATTTTTGAATTAGGACAGATTTATTTTATTCTTCGGATTTGATTGCCTCCTTTCATTTAAGAAAAGATCAGGGCTACAAGGCACCTCTTCTCTTGTGGCTGTATTATGCCTCACATCTGCCTGAGACATCCTTATGGTTATTTACTGAGTGTAGCCTGTCTGCTGGTTTATCATTTTTATTGTCACAGAACCTCCCTGCAGCTCCTTTACGGTGACAGCGACAGTCATAGTCTCACCCGGAACAGAACGAGTCAAACACACAGCCATGAGTTGCTGTCTGTTTAACCAGGTTTACACTGCATGACTGAATTAGCGGCATTTCAAACTGCACCCTGTGACTGTTTTTATAACTCTATGAAATGAATCCATGCTTCATTGATCTGACATCCAACAGCTCTGGAAGAAAGAGCAGAGATGTGAAAAGCTGGTTTTTTGTGAAATCTCTACCCTTCACAGAGCAGAAAGGAGCAAGGTATGTTTCACTGGTGCATGTACAATAATACAAGTATTTTAAATTGCATGAACAGACCTTTTAGCTTTATATTAGTCTTTGATATTTCTATGTCGTAAATATCATGAATACCAAATTATTCATGTGCATGAGCTCACAGACTCTCAGTATATGCTTTGGCGACATGCAGTACTGTACGCTTTATCAGTATTGCATTGATGAATGAAGCCATGATGCAGTATATCCAGCTAGAACAGCCAATTGCAGAATAAAATACAGGAAGATGCAGCTGGAAAGTAAATTCTGTATCTTAAATAAGATAGAGGTGAAGGAAATGACAAAGAGCTGAATGAGAACACAGGAGGCCACGACTGAGACAAAAGTAATGAACTAAATGATCCACAGGGGAACAGAGAAAATAATGCATGCAAACATACATATTAACAGGGATGATCAACAGGATGCAACATATGATACAGATAACTTCTTCACAAAATATAACTTAAAACACACAATAAGAGGCAAACACTGAAAGAAGCTGATATAAAACCCACAGACAACAGATAAATCTGCGCAGGTTTCCATACTTCTCTTTATTTGGGCCTCCATTTATTTCAAACAACAGATAAAGTCTCAGGGTGACCCAGCTGTAATAGAATAAAGATCAGAACACAAACATTCTAAGAACCTTCAAATAGATGACATTTTCAGGCCCATGCCAAGTTACAAAAAACTCTTAAATGAGTTAAATCTATAAATAAAGACTATTCCTATAGTGAAGGTAAGGACAGTCTGCTGCATGCTGAGGGCAAAAGGAGACCCAACAATTCCTGCAGGGGAGGGAGAATGTACAGGTACAGAACACAACAATCTTTTGCCTACATTAACTGAAAATAACAGGATGCGATGATGGACAAGGTAGCACACATTAATATGATATTGTATTACAACTTACATAACACATACTTGTATTGAACACTCCTGGTCAAGGCGTTTTTATGGATCTTATCAGGGTACCTGACTAAACACAAGATCTGATCCCTGTTGTTTGTCTGCTGTCTGGGACTTTACGTAGGCCACGTCTTTATGTTAGCCAAGGCATATGGCATACTGCACACGTCCATTACAAATACATTCACAACCATTTAAATGTGCACAACTTCTAAAACTGTATATCAACCAAGTTGTTTTTGTTGGTTTGATGAATCTGGGTTTTCGATAACAATATAGGGATTGTTCACCCTTTACAGTGGCATTCACAATGAAAGAAAGACTGCATTGGTTCCCAGCTTCCTGCCTGTCTCTGTCATATGACCTGCTTTGCTCTGAGGGCAGACAGTGCTTGGCATTGATAAAACAAACACAAGTGATCAAACTTTGTTTCTTGTTCTATCACATTTGGACTCGATATCTAGGATTAAAAATCCTAATTGGACCATGCCTGAAAATTATTGTAATTCTGATGTTTTTTATGACTTTTGTCTATACTTTATTCATTCATTGTCTATACCGCTTATTCCATAGTGGGTCACAGGGGAGCTGGTGCCTATCCCCAGCAGTCTACAGACAAGAGGCAGGGTACACCCTGGACAGGTTGCCAATCCATCGCAGGGCAGCAAAGAACATAGAAGACAAACAGCCACGCACACACTCAGTCACACCTGAGGGCAATTTAGAGAGCAATTAACCTAACAGTCATGTTTTTGGACTGTGGGAGAAAGCCGGAGTACCCGGTGAGAACACACACAGGCAAGGGGAGAACATGCAAACTAACGAACATGCAGAAAGACCCCCGGCTGGGAGTCGAACCCAGGACCTTCAAGCAACACTGCTACCAACTGCGCCACCATGCGGCCCTCTATACTCTTGATCTTTAAATAAATAATTTAAAGGAATAAATTACAGCCCCATTAACAATCTTCAGCTGTACATTAAAAACATAATGAGATTAAATTATAAAATTGAAAACTCTCTTCAGCATCTAGCAACAAAAGACCATACAAAAAATCCTAAAATGCGCAAATCATATAACCATGATTTTTTTTTATATAAAATAAAAAACGTTGCATACATAGCAAGTACACATCCCCAAACTTACACATATAAACACACACAAAGATCCATTCATATCTAAAATACAGCAGATAAAGATAGCAATGTTTACGATAAGTTTTGTGAAAGTGAAACAGTATTTTAGCATTTCAGCTAAAGGAATAAAAGATTTCTTATGGCAGGTTTTTCATTGCTAGGAGAACGTTAAGTCCTCTGCCTGATGGCAGAGATTAAAACACTGAGAGAAGAGGAGGAGAGGAGATATAGTCTCTGGAGTGAAGGCTTTTTGAGCCAAATCTTAGGGGTCTGGTTGTTCACCTGATTTAGTTTTTTTTCCTGACGTATAACATGAAGTGTACCATACCTAGATGTTATATTAAAGCAGAGAAAACTGTCATTAAATGACCTATAGACCATGGCCGACATCTGTTTACTGGAAATAAAGTTTCTTGTAGTCATTTTCTTGACTTGGAATGGGAAAGAAAGTCTTGCTCCACCTCTTGGTCTTTTATTATTTGCCTAAATACAGATCCATATGTGTCATCTTCCATCCTCCCTCACAGACACAGGTCTTTGGTTTTACCAACACAGGTGAAGATAGTTGCTGTCAAAACAAGTGACAAGATGGTTGACATCCTGAGAGTAGGCGACCGCTGTTGAAGCTCTTAGTCAGATGGTAGACTACAAACTGAACACTAAGGTTAAAGGTCATGTTTGCACCATTTTATAATAAATGTTATTTGCTTTGTGAATGAAATGCTGAGATGCAGCAGATGGAGATTTAGCACTTTTTTTGGATTTGTAGCTGAATCTACAGATTAGACATGTTCAAGCTGAACTGTCTGGGCTTTGCTCTGTTGTGTGGGGTTTTTTTTAAATCTACACTGTAAATGTCAGAGCCTTCTGGTCATATGGATTTCATTTACAATCTACTGAAGCATCTTAAGTTTTTTTCCTCTGAACAGAAGTAGCCACATATATAGTTTAAACTGGCAGCTCACTCTGTGTCCGCCACAGTCAGATACCTGAAGGAATTTTAATTTTTTAGTCGTGAGAAACATTTTGCATCCTTAAAAGTGACACAAAATAAATATTTCGCTCAAATTCTGTTCTGCCTGTTTCTATTTGAGTCAGTCTCTGATCTCAGATAGATCTGTGTTTGGGCACCTTGTCTATAAATTTCTAAATAATTGATGTTATTGTAAAGTAGATTGTTAAGCTGAATCCATTTGGAAATAAAAGCATACCACATTGTTAGCCTGGTCTAATACGCTTCCGTTATAATTTAATACTTTAAGAGATGGCAGGCAGGTGAAATATAGCAGAGGCATCAAGGCAAAGTGTGTTCCACAGCCCTGGGTGGCGATTTGTCGCCTAATGAAGCCATTAACCTCACACTACCAAATCTGATACAAGCAAAGTAATGACTTCATTAGATGGAGAAATTGCAGCTGTGTAACAGAATTTCAATGCATATGTGTTGGTGGTGCAAATGATCTCAGCACCCAGGAGAACGGCTCCGGCACTGACAAACACTAATCTTAGTTGTTGTTAATGACAAACCATGCATGAGCATGTTCTGCAGCTGCAAACAGCATTACAGAGCAGCTGCTTCAAATGATGATCCAAACTCCCCTCACTGATTCGTTTAAGACCACTACTGTTTCTGGATGCTATAATTATTTTGAAGTGACTTTACCCAATAATCTCCTTTATCCTCGGAAAAAATTGCATCAGGGTATTTTCTCACAATGCTTATTACAGATGCAGTTCTATAAGTGTTGTGTGTGGCTGTTAAAGAACAACTGATAACCTCAACTGGAATCCATCTTCTCCGCTCTTCCTCTCATATGCACGGCCCATCGGTTTGATCATTACAATTAAGAGGTGTTAATTAGCAAGAGACAGAGTTGGCCTTTGCATTCAGATGACAGCCAATCACAGAAAGCACATTAGGAGCTATTGGGTTATGGTGGGGACACCCCCACCCCCGCCTCCATTCTGCCTCTGTCACGCAGGTCAAGAGTTCCTGCAGTAAATTACTGACTGTGACTTCTGTTTGTCTCTCCCAGCTCGTTCCTGCAGCTCTCTGAGGTTCCCAGCTCTGTGTAATACATCATTCATTAAATTATGGAAAGCCATTAGAGGAGAAATTGGGAACTTGCAAATTCTTTGTGGCATTTCGCTTAGCATATAAAGCAGCACGCGCTGGCTTTTATGCCCAACTAAATATCGATGACGGTCCTTGTTACGCTTGATGGATGAGCTTCATAATTACATGGTGCCATTGCTTTCGACTATTAATGAGGGTCATGAATGGAGCCCTCCTCTTCGTCCTGCACATAGCTCATGTTTGGCAGTCAGAGCCGACCTGTGAACAACAACCCGTCTACAGCAGGCATGAACAAGCATCATCAGAACCTCAGGGGGTGAAAACAACAGATTTTCCAGTTTCAGCACCAATATATGGTTCAGTCAGAGGATTTATGTTTAACTTGTGATTTTTATTAAAACAGTATCTTCAGAGATGGTGGTGGATGTTATAAAACAACTAAAATTCCATTGGTAGAAACCAAAGTGAAATTTACATGATGTTGATAAATTATTATTAGAGAATACTCTATATCTATGCAGCATGACACCAGAGAGCCAAATGGACCACAGTGACGGTGAGGGCATGTTGCATTAAACCAGACTGGAACTGATGTGAGCCCTTGTTGGAGGTTGCTGGTTCGAACCCCCACTCTGTCTGTCTCAGTCTTTGAGTCCTTGGGCAAGACACCTTACCCACCTCTCTATGTGATGAGCTGATGATTTGCAGGAGGTGGAGCAGCACAGCAGGAGCAGCCCCATCCTCAGAGGACACAGAGGGTCAGAGAGGGGAGACAACACCCAAAATACATGAAGGTCCACAGCTTTGTATCAAATTTCATTAAATTTGACCTTTAAGGAAGGTATGTCAAAGTCTGTATTTCAACAGTTTGTGATAATCGTTCAGATAACTGCATGGCTCTGTCCTTATTTGGAGCAGCCAAAACATCTTTTGAACCAGAACATATTGAAATGTAAGATTTATGTAGACTACTGAAATAATCCCTGCTTTCTGTATATTTTGCTTTTAAGGAGGCAAATTGTGGTGAACAGTTTTTCTTTGGTGTTTGGTAGCTTTCACCCATTTCTATTTTCATGCTCAGATGATCAAGTGAAGGATAATGTATCTCTCAGATCAAGTTCATGTACTGGACAGAAAATGAGAAAATTAAAATGAAAAAGCAGTCAAAACTCAACCATTTCCAAAGAAAAAACTTCGAATGGGACTCAGGAAGCCTGGAAAAATATTGATCAAGACCACTTTAAAAGATCTGATAAAAGTTTGGCTCCTTAAAATGAAGGTTTAAGATGTTAAAATGCAGATTAGGTCCTTTTCACAGTCCTTCATTTAATAGGATTCTCACGACACCACTACTTTGCCAGTAGTGACATAAAAAAAACTTTGACTCAAGGCTAGTGATGCAAAAGTTAATTTTCTGGAAATATTGTCCTGAACCCCTGGATAAAAAGACTTATAACTCCTGGTATGACTTTCACTGCAGTGATGATCATGTGCACCAGTTCCCCAGGAGTCGCAAACTGCTGTTCATGTGTTTTTTAATAAACAAATTACTCAGGAACATATAAAATAACTAAATAAAACTCACAGTAATAAATTCTACTTTCGGTGGCTGATGCAGTCTGTAAAATATTTCAACCCCCTGAACAGCACCTTTAAAAGAGCATTAATTTACATCAGGTGTGGTCTTAAGCACACCTGTCCACACCTAATGTAATCAGTACAGGGCATCAATAGTTGCATCAGGTGTGCTTCATAAATTACCTCAAACACCTCGTCTGTTGAAGGTGATGTCTATTACATGTTAGCAATATGGCTCAGTCAACAGAATTGTCCAAAATGTTCAGAAAAGAGATCATTGCCTTTCCCAAACCAATCAGATAATACAACATGAGAGCAAAGGCCCTGAATGTTCCTGTAGATACATTTGGAGGCCAAGTTCTATATCTTTACACTACCTGGTGTCAGAAAAATGAGCTATCAGAGACTGCCACTAGGCTCCCGAGGAAGCAGGTGGTCACAAACCCTGAGATGACTGCAAAAGACCTGAAACAAGACTTGGTGACACCAGCCACCGATGTTTTAGGTCCTACAGTAAGGATAAAGAGCTCCATGCCAGAACTCAAGGATGTACACCCCTACTGACCCAAACACACAAGTAAAGTCAGCTCCAATTTGCTCAGAACTGTATCAATAATCCAACAAGGTTTTGGTATTCTTCTCTTTGGCCTTTGGAAAGCAGTATGTCTGGAGGGGAAAGAAAGAAACATGCTTAGAAAAACACCATGCCTACAGTGAAGCATGGTGGTGGCTCAGTGATGCTCTGGGGCTGCATTGCTTCCTCTGAGTAGTTGGCTAAGGTACCTAAGGAATGCTGCAACAAGGTGGAGCCTGGCTATGACTCATGTTTGCAGCAGGTTAAAACAGCTCGACATTGCTCTACTAAATACTAAAGAGACTTTCCATTGAATGATTTTGAGACTGCAGTTGTCATTAAAATAATTTTTGTTGAACTTAAGGAAAGCACTTATATTATTTGTGTTAAGCAATTAAACTGTTCTTGTTTGCAGCTGCCTGTTTGTGCATTTTGCCAACAAAATTAATTTACGGTGAAGGTTGAATAATGTTTGGTCCACTTTTAAGAGTCAAACTGAGCACAATATTGGCTGCATTATGAATTTTCTCTCAGCCC